CCTACGCTTCCTGTAGTGTATTACAGTCTGTCAGAGTGACTGTGTGGATCATAAGAACATTATAGAGCTTTTTAAATGAAACAGTAGAAGCCATATCGCCCCCTATGCTTCCTGTAGTGTATTACAGTCTGTCAGAGTGACTGTGTGGATCATAAGAACATTATAGAGCTTTTTAAAGGAAACAGTAGAAGCCATATCGCCCCCTACACTTCCTGTAGTGTATTACAGTCTGTCAGAGTGACTGTGTGGATCATATGAACATTATAGAGCTTTTTAAAGGAAACAGTAGAAGCCATATCGCCCCCTACACTTCCTGTAGTGTATTACAGTCTGTCGGAGTGACTGTGTGGATCATATGAACATTATAGAGCTTTTTAAATGAAACAGTAGAAGCCATATCGCCCCCTACGCTTCCTGTAGTGTATTACAGTCTGTCAGAATGACTGTGTGGATCATATGAACATTATAGAGCTTTTTAAATGAAACAGTAGAAGCCATATCGCCCCCTACGCTTCCTGTAGTGTATTACAGTCTGTCAGAGTGACTGTGTGGATCATATGAACATTATAGAGCTTTTTAAATGAAACAGTAGAAGCCATATCGCCCCCTACACTTCCTGTAGAGTATTACAGTCTGTCAGAGTGACTGTGTGGATCATATGAACAGTATAGAGGCTTTTATTGCTCAGTACTGCTGTTTAGGTCTTGAGTAGAGAGTGTACATGTTTGTATATCTGTGTCTGTGTGTTTGTCTGCAGGGACTCTCTGATGGCTCAGCTGGATTTGACTGTGACGAAGGCCGAATCTGAGCAGTTAGCCAGAGCTCTGCAGGAGGAGCAGTACTTCGAACTCAGTCAGGAGAGCAAGAAGAGCACAACAAGGCACAAACAGGAGCTCGTAGAAAGGGACTCTACTATAGCACGGGTCTGTATCACAAACTAGGCCCTGACCAGTGTTACAGTGCTACAGATACAGTTCAGATCATCATAATACCAGCTATTATCATTATTATTATTATTATTATTAGTAGTATGTTAACACTTTGTTTGGATAGTCCCTTTTAGATGCTTTGTAGATAATTAGTTTACTTCCAAGTTTCATTCAATTAAATATATAAATTGACCATAATTGTCTTTAACTGTAAACCTGGTTCTAATCCTAACCTTAACCTCAACCCAAAACCAAACCCAAATCTCACCCTGGTCCCAATCCTAACCCTGGTCTAAATCCTGACCCTAAACCCAACCACTGTTTAGAGTTTCAAAAGATAGTTTTTTAACAATTTGAACATCTGTAGAGAATCTATATGGGGCTATAAAGTTAGACCATTATTATTATCATTATTATTATTATTATTTATTTTATTTTTTTTATTGTAACACTTTGATTTGATTGTCCATTTTAGATGCTTTGTAGATACTTAGTTTACTTCCAAATTACATTCAACTAAATATCTACTAAACTGACCATAATTAACTGTAAACCTGGCTCTAATCCTAACGCTAATCTTAACCCAAAACCTAAACCCAACCCTCACCCTGGTCCAAATCCTAACCCCAACCCCACCACTGCTTAGAGTTTCAACAGATAGTTTGTTAACAATTTGAACATCTGTAGAAAATCTATAGGGGAATATAGTGGACTATCCAAATGAAGTTAGACCATTATTATTATTGTTATTATTTGTATTATTATTATTATTATTATTATTGTTGAAGAAAAATGACACTCTTGAGCATCAAGATTGAAGTTCTAATAACATTAACATCCATCCAATGAAATTAAAACTGCTCTGTAATTGGGAGATGGCGACACCGAAAAAGTTGGCGCTTCCTACAAATTCTTTGTTCATGAGACTTTATTGGCTACAAAAAATCCTGATTCTGATGTTTCTTGTACTTTTCAGCTTGAGGATTCCAACAAAACCCTAACCAAAGATGTGGAGAACCTCACCAGGGAGAAAGCCGAGCTAGACTCGAAGCTCCGATCTCAGGAGGAAGGTAAAGTCCTGCACACTCAGGGAGGAGCTGCAGGAGGAGGAGCTTTTAAGCCAGGCGAGCACTGTGCGATTCTAGAAATCCTGTTCTTTGGTGACCCACACTGTATGTTTGAATTCCCCCTCGGGCATCGTTTCCCCCTCACACTGCACAGCAAACAACAGCTGATGAAGCTGAAATTTGGCCCGATCATGAAATTCAGTCGGCTCTGACCAAATCGGACTTAAAAACAGATGAAAACCTCAGAGTGTACGCCTGGCTTTACAGTCTTAGATTACCAGAATCATTTGTTTATTGTTTATGCTTCTGATGCTACGTTCACATTACAAGCCTCATTGCTCAAATCCGATTTTTTGCTCAAATCCGATCTGTCTGATGGTTCACACTAGTTTAGGTAAGTGATTCAAATCTGTCATTAATATGAACGAACCGGCGTCCTGAAATGACCCTCATGAGCTCATCCTACTCAGTAACGTCACGTGAATGAATCACGTTCATCATTAGCACAAACTAACGAGCAGAACGAGCTTCGCTGAGAAGATCATTAACTCTGATCAGCTCTCAGCTTCATTATTAGAGCGAGACGAAGGAGAAAAAGGTGAGATGAGCTGCTTTTCCACCGTTTACAGGCTTTAACTTCTGTTCGGCGCTGTTGCCATGGTAACGCTGAATGATGGTGCAGCGCAGTGGGGAAAAAGCACCTGAATTCCGATCTGAGTGTCACATTAAGGTCACACGGCCAAGAATCAGATACGTATCCGATCTAGGACCACATATGAAAGGGTTCAGGTCAGATTTGAAAGATCACATTTGCGTGCACACAGCCCTGAAAACATCAGATCTGAGTCACGTTAGGGCAGAAACTCGGATGTGTGCCACTTCAGCCTGGTAATGTGAACGTATCCTGAGAGGTTCTCCAGCTTCGTCTGCGTTTCTGGCTAGTTTAGCTGCTGTTGGTCTTTCTGGTTCTGTCTCAGAGTTTGACTTTGTTGCTGGTATAAAGCCGTGCTCAGCTCTGAGTCATGACTGTCATGTTGTGTCAGTCTGTGAGGAAAGTAGAGCCGGTTTAGGGCTGTTTTCCTGACGCTGTTGACTCCAGCCTCTCTCCTCCTCTGTTTATGCTCCTGTGTAGATTATGCCGCCCAAAAAGAAGAAATTTCGAACTCCATTAAGGCCAACTATGAGAAGATACTCAACACGGAACGAACCCTGAAGACCCAGGTAGGCCTGAGAAGACGCACGTCCTCTGATTGTACTGAGGAAACCGTCCACCCTGAGACGCTCCTGATTCGTCTTATCGTTATTATTCTTCACAGCCCAACACACAGTGCAGCATTCAGCTCCCTGTAGTGCATTAAGGACGTCATGTGCTTGAGACACTTTCTGGTTCAGGCATTAAAAAGTCTAGTTAGACTTATTTTATATTTTATACTTGTTAATCTTATATTTACGCTTATATAATCTTTTTTTTTGTTTACTACTAAATGTATATTACACACTGCCCCCCCACACACTGTTATTAGTGTTTTCTACTGTTTCTTCAAAGATCTTGTGATATGCTGATTTTTTTTGTTGTTGTTTTCCTTCAAACACAGGGTTGCTGCAGAAGAGTTTTCATGAAGTCATTTAAAATATTGAGGTTAAAAATGTCTGAAAACGTCTGTGAGGATAAGCAGTTTTGAAAAACTGATGAATGGGGACAAAATTACCATTAATCCACTTTAAAATTATGTTAAAAAACTAAAATTATCTTTTTTGTAATCTCCATTTTCATTTCTCTGCATCGTTTTAGCGCACCAGCTCCCCTTAACGTTTTCTGAAAATTTAATGATGAATGGGCCAATAGAAATGCTCCAAAATTTATTGGAATAAAATTTCCTTACATTAACTTACATTCAAAATGAAGGACGTTTTTACCTTCTCCTGTAAAGTCACCATTTTGGAGATGCTCATTTTTCTTTGTTCAGTGATGAAATACCAAAGAAAAATGAGTGTCTTTGTCAGCAACAAAGCATTAATCCATTTTCACTCTGAATTAGTTTTATAGATCAAAAAAACAAACAAAAAAAGAAAATACTGCCCTGTATCTTCATCCTATGACGCCCAAAGTTGTGGTTAGAAGAGTTACTGTGTATATTTAACTAATACAAAATAGTCCAACAACCAAAAATATCCACCAGTCAGCGGCCCTGAGGTCAGAAACTGGCCACTAATGATGGGCGACAGGACACAGAGCTGCTAGTCAACCTGAAAAGGTACATAGAGCGAAGAAAACAAACAGGCGTTTTCAGTCACTGTTTCTAGTTTTTCATTAGTATTCACATTATTTTTAAGTGTCAGATTGTGACGCTTCATTTTAGATCTATATAATCTTCAGTGGACCATAGAGGTAAATTTCCAGTGGCTGAAATATCGCTGTATCCGTAATTTACACAAATACAAATAAGTACAAGGCTAAGATTAATAATACATATAGTATTGCCATTGTGATTATTTGGTAATATATGTAATACAAAATAGCCCAACAACCAAAAATATCCACCCGTCAGCTGTCCTGAGGTCAGAAACTGGCCACTAATGATGGGCGACAGGACACCGAGCTGATAAAGTCAACCTAAAGATATATTCCTTATACAGTGATCTCACAGCAGCCCACCAGTGTGTAGCAACCCTTAAATTATATCAGTAGGGCGGAGCTGAAGTTCACTGACGTGTGTCTCTCCTGTTCTCCTGCAGGCCGTGAACAAGCTGGCCGAGATCATGAACCGGAAGGACATGAAGCTGGACCGGAAGAACCGTGGCAGCACCACGGATCTGCGCAAGAAGGAGAAGGAGAACCGCAAGCTGCAGCTGGAGCTCAACCAAGAGAAGGAGAAGTTCAACCACATGGCCATCAAATACCAGAAGGAGCTTAGCGAAATGCAGGCGGTGGGTGCTGGCGCGTCGCTAACGCTAGTTTTGTTCAAAATGTTCAATCGGCGCTCCCAGAAGTGCTAATGATGCTAATAATGAACGAAACAGTAGCCACGTTTACATGCAGCCTGATAATCCGTTAATAATCCGACTAATAGCTCAATCAGAAGAGAGTACGGCCATATATACACTTAAGTCGGAATAGTCTAGTCCGATTGAGGCCATTCAGAATACAGTTCCTATCTGACTGATCGAGGTGGGTAATCCTGTAAATGATCCATTAAGTAGAAGAATAATATCCGTGTAAACGCCTGTATCTGATTACATTCCCTATCGGAAAGTTTAAGTCCATTCTGATCATGTTCGTCGCGTCGTAGTGAAAGTTTATACCGTTCAACATGGCGGAGCAGAAACTGGTCTGCAGAGGAGACGAAGTTTATGCTCTGATCTTTAAAAGACGGCGGTGGGACGGACGTCCAGCTTATGTGTCTCAGAACACGACGTCTTCCTCTCGGCCTTCTTTAATAAGCACTGCTCACTGCTGCTCGTCTCACTCTGACTGGACTCACGTGATGCTGGTTGTCATGGTAACGTCTACACTAAGCGGTTCTCTACGCATGTGTGTAATTTTGGATCTGATTACTTGTAGTGAGCATGTAAATATGTATGCAATCAACAAGCTTTGTATCAGTTTTATTTCCAATGATTTCCTTCTTCCAAATATTGAAAAGCAGATACTTCTGCAATCGTTATGACCAAGCTGGATGGACAGGACTGCGGCCAGTTTAATCAGTCATCACAATAGGTTTAAAAAAAATGCGTTATATTGTATGAAATTATATTTTAGATTCTGTTGTAAGTGTGGATTCACTGGTAATCAGGCTACTGAAAATGTTTGTTTCCAGCCTCTGTGTTTCACGTATGTAGCCTTGTGTAATAATAAATGTGTGGTTTGTCTGGTTCTGCAGCAACTGATGGAGGAGAGCACGTACCGTAACGAGCTGCAGATGCAACTGGACAGCAAAGAGAGCGACATCGAGCAGCTGAGGGAGAAACTGAATGACCTGCAGCTCCGTATGGACAACTCCAGCGTCACCAGCCTACAGCCGGACGAGACGGACAGCAACATCGCAGGTACAGACATGCACACACACTGCAGGAGTGCTGGTCCTGTGACACACCTGTCTCAGGTAACAGGGCCTGGGCCGTTAACAGAATCCTCTTATTCAGGTAACTGTACAGAAAATAACCGCAGTAAACAGTTACACCAGATTTACATTTTTTCTTTTTGCTTTACCTTTATTTTTTAATTCCCAGCAGGCTTTTAAACTAGTGATGCACCAAAATACAAATTGCTGACCGCATCGAAATTAAGGACACTTCAAAAAACCGACAGGAAGCTTCTTTTGTACAGAATTTTCCGTTTCATTTATGCTTCTAAATTAACCCAGTAATGCAGATGATGCTTCAAAGGTCATGATTGCCATGTTGGGAAAGACAGCTGAGAGATCTAGAGCAGGGGTTCTCAACCTTTCCCACCCCAGGGCCTACCTGTGTATAACTTCTGGACTACCGTCTCCCCAATCTTCAAAAATAATAAACCTCGATATCAGCTTCTTTGTCATAGTTTATCAATTTGAGTGTACTACTCAGGTCGCTGGTGCTCGGCCAGAAATCAAACGCAGTTCTTCACTATTATTTTAAGGCTCATGTGTCGTCTTTATCAGCTGCAGCTCGAAATGAGGAAAGAAATGAGAGCAGTGAGAGTCTGTAAAGAGTCAGATGTTAAACAGGCAGATTATGTTGACAGTAAAGCGCTGATGTGCTGCTAGAAGAAGAGGAAAGTCAGCTCTGTTGATGAGTTCCTTCATTTAATCATAATATGCGTCCCACCAGCAGTGAACTGAGCAGGGTTCGGTTTGAAGCATATGGAGACCTGCAGGTTTTGCTGGACCGTTACAGTTGTTTGATGCAGACCTGAATACGGGTGCAGTGTTGAGACATGTCAAAACAAAGCGACCTAAAGAAAAGAGTTTGATCGTTCCGCGCTGAACAAGGCAGGAGAAACACCCTGAGAAATCTGCGCTGTGCAGACGTCAGACTGATGACGTTTAATTAGCCTGTGACTGCGGTGTTTTCATTTATACGTCACTAACGGCCCACTGCGAACTACTGCCTCCCCCTGAGCACAGCCCTGCAGACCACTAGAGGGTGCTTCACGGCCCACTGGTGGTCTGCAGCCCACAGGTTGAGAAACCCTGATCTAGAGGACTCATTTCATTTTAAACGGCTTGTTTAACGATAAGTCATTTATGTAGTGTATAAAATACGGTACAGGGTGATTCCAAAAATTCATCTGCTCAGGGGTCTCAGCTCCTCTCAGACTGAAGGGAACCATCTTCCACTGACCGTCAGAAACTCTATGACCCCCTCTTTCAATTGGATTGTGATTGGTTCCTGGGCACCCGTTGTAAAAATACGGCCCTTTGAAATGAATCTTTTTGAATCACCCTGTGTTGTAGTCATTTTCCAAAAAGCTGAATTCCACAGCGCTGCTGTGATTGGTTCACTCAGTCATTGCCATGTCTGTCACATCTCAGCTAAACCTGCATTTCTGTATTTTTACCTAATTTGTCTCGCATCGTCTTCACTCCAGTCTCTGCTGGCGCTGAGACTCCTGAACTGATGAGACTGACCACAGTTCTGTCCATACAGTTTGTTCCTCCCAGTTCTGGATTGTTTTCACAGTGTTTAGAGGACATTTATTGGAAATGTCAATCTAAACTGACACAGTCAACAAGCCTCTTGCTTTTAGGCTGTAAATTACATGGTATTAATTCCACATTGTACATCAATGATTCCAGGTCTTGCTCGTCATTGTTTCCATGGAAACCTTTCCATTCCCGAAGCAGCAGATGGGTTTCAGATTAAATGAAGGACTTTAATTGAATGTACTCTCTGTAAGCGTTCGTTTCCGCTGAACAGCGGCGCATGTTTTAAAGTAAACACCGCAGCACAGTTACATACCTGACTGTATTCGCATTGATCCTCAGGAGTTGTGGTTGTCTAAACTTTGGTTTAGGTTAGTTCTAAACTTTTAATCAGTCCAGTTACTCCAAGTGTAAGAGGAGATGTTTTAGTCTGATTTGAATTTGAAAAAAAGGTATCATGCAAAGAAAAAATGTTAGATTTTTGCTCTTCTTGCATTTTTGAAACAGAAAATTGTCAGAAGCCCAAACTAAAACCTGCAAGTGAATGCAGATATTATTAAACTGTGTAATTACTTGAACTTTAATTAATCATCACAATTAATGACATTAGTTTGTGTGGTTATTCGCAATGGATGGCATTTTTGTCTTATTTTGATTTTGTTCCATTTTAAAAGCAGTGCCTTTTGTTTTGGCTATGAGGGGACAAAATAAGCTTAAACTTATTTTCATAGCAGATGGGCTCTACTTTGGATATTTTGAAGAGACAGTGTGTTAACATGGTGTTAATATGAATTTTATATATATATTTACACACATACACATATGTAATATTGTTTCCATGTCATCTTTGATAGCCCTTCAAATTACATTTAAAGCTGCACTGTGTAAGTTTTGGGGATTTGGAACTTTGTTGTACCTGGAAAGTTCAAAGTTTGTGTGTTTATTGTTCCTCCTGACTCTGATTTTACACAGTGCAGCTGTAACTGGTGCAGCAAACCGACAGTAAAAGATCTGAGTGTTTAGGGGTTAAAACCCTGAAGGCCGTCAGCATCGTAGATCGAATACAGTCCGGTGTATCTGTGCTGCTGATGGTGTTTCTGATATTTTGGCCACTCCTCGTGCTGTTTTGGCACCTCGCGTTACCGTGGTAACGCCGGGGTTTGTGGGAATGTGTTTAAAATCCTCTCATATCTTCTTCCCTCTCGTGTCCAGTCGGTTCTCTCCTCCTCTTTGTGTCCTCTGTTCTTTTTCCTCTGTGAGTAACCCGCAGGTTCGTTCCCTTCATGCCTGCTTTAAGCTCTTGGCTGCGTGGCTTCTTTTATTTTTCTTTATTTATTGTTTACGCTCTGTGCTGTTGGGTGTTATGCCTGTTCTGTGTTTGTTCTCTTGTTTGCCCCTGAAAGAAACTTCTCAGAGTGACGACGATCGCTTACCAACGAGGTTCTAGCCGTTTTACTGTAGCTAGCGCTGCGCGATACAGCCAAAAATTCATTTCCCTGCGTTTTTATATCGACAATATTAAAAAATAGACGCTTTGTTGGTTTTCTCAGTGTAAATAAGTGAACACGTCCTCTACAGAGACACTCTTCTGCACATTTTAGTACACAATTACTGTTTGTTTGAACGAAATAGTACATAAAATGTGGCCTGTGCAAATGTTTAGACCTCTCTTGTATTTTATGTTTTGTCCAATATGCCAAATTCAGCAAATACACAGTAATAGTGTATTAAAGTGTACAGAAGTGTGTTCTTTGTACAGGATATGTTCACTTATTTACTCTCAGAAAATCAACTAAATGTACATTAGGCTAACAGAGTGAAGGACACAGCACCTCCACACTTTTATTCCCCGTGGGTTCACCCAGCACCACATGTGTAATATAAATGTGTGGGGGGTGAACAGAGTGAAGGCACTGAAAATGGGTTATTTTATATGTTCTTCACAGAAAATGAGCAAAGACCAAGAATCTGAGGCAGAAATAATAATAAATCGCATCATTTTTTCTTCACGCAAATCACACAAGGGCTAAGAGTTTAAGTAATACAGAATGGTTTTATTCCAAGTAATTGTGGACCAGTTTTTTGGGGGCGTTATTAACCCCTTAAATGGCCAGGGCTCAAAGTTTTGTTGCACACTTCTATAACTTAAGAACAGCTCAGCCAGTTTGCATTGAAGTCCCTGTAGTTACTGAATAATAAGCTTTATTATGTAATAAGTCTGAAATTTTATTGAGTTAATCATTCTAGCAATGAAAAGAGCAGCTGACACTTTCAGATTATGACAGTGGAAGGTGCTGATATTAGTAATTTTATTGAAACGTGCAGTAACGATATCACTAATCGATTATTACGGTCATCGTTTCATCGCCTAGTTCTAGAATAGAACTCGTTTTCTTTGGGAAAAGCTGCTCCTGACTGACTAACCTCCACTCTGAGCCTCTTTCAGAGGTGTTTAAAGACACCGTCACCCCTTTTCACGGACCACCCGTGCTCTCTGCATGTTCACTGCTGAGTGATTGGACACACTGTAGACCCCCTCACTGTTCTAACGGGCCAGCGTAGCTCTGTTTCCACAGCATGCTCTGAAAGCAGTAACCCTTCACTTCCTCCTAACAGCTCCACAGTCTGGAGCCAGCGACTCGTGGACGTCCTCCTGATCTACCCTGGCCGATCGGTTATCACCATGGTAACACGTGCTGACTAAATATGTGGGACTAATTCACTGTCGATCATCAGAAAGGCGGATGGTCTTTCTCGGGCTCTGCGTTCTTTTGGTGCTACTGTTCTGGAGTTGGACAGTTTTACACCAAATCCAGTTCAGCCCAGTGAGAAACTGTAGCTCTCAGCTCTGCAGCTCCACTGTGTGTTACTCATTGTAAATAAGCTGTAGATTAGTGAGGTCACACTGTTACGCTAGACGGGGTAGCGTTCGCAATATGTTGCATACCTTGAAAGAAATATTTAAGAACGTCTCTTTGTTCTAATGCAGCCAATCAAAATCTGTTCGTTTAATTTATTTCAATTTATTCTATTTTAATGCTGTTTTTTGCTTAGTTAACATTTCATTTTAAAACACTTTGAGATGCTACATGTATTAGCTAAGTTAATATAAAAATATATCAAAAGTAAATATTATCTTAAAATATTTTAGCCTCTCTAGCCTTTCATAAAGTAGTTAATGTACTAATTTATATATATATATATATATATTATCATTGCTGTTGGAAAAAACCTTGTATCTCCATTTTTGTCAGTTTTTGACATAATTTGAAAATGCCTGTTGTTCTTTATATTGTGTGTAAATTTTATGAAGAATGGACCAAAAGAAACGACCCAGAATGACTTGGAAAAAATTCTGGTTCCATTGACTCACATTAAAAATAAAGTTTGTTTTTTCCTTCTCCTGTAAAGTTACCATTTTGGAGATACGAGGTTTTGTGCACAACTATATGTATATGTTGATTTTCTAAATGAAAATAAGTACATATATTTAACATAGAAACCTTGTATGTCCAAAATAGTAACTTTACACGGGAAAGAAAAAACCTACTCTACTTTTAATGTAAGTCAATGGAACCAGACTTTTTCCAAGTAATTTTGGTTTGTTTCTTTTGGTCCATTCATCATTAAATTTAGGATAATTTAATTTAAAAAAAGGAAACAGATATTTTCAGATTGTCAAAAACTGAAAGATGACAAAAATGGAGATAGAAGGTTTTTTCCAACGACAGCGTTTTGTTGTTTATTACATATATTGTTTATTTGATGCAATACAGTTCTTTTTATTTGTTTTTTGTGTTGCCACAACAACACAGTCCAGTTCAGCAAAAGTTCTCCACAGTTTCTCATTAGGTTGAACGTTTGGTCGTTCAGCTTCACAGTAGTACCTACAGAAGAACCTGTTTGTGGGCGGAGCTTGAATAGATCAATTCACCGAGTCAGTAACAGACTTACAGCACTTACTGCTCCCGCACTGGAGCCAAGCTCTCCTACATAAACGGAGTGATGAGGTTTTTCTGCGTCGCTCTGATCTGTGGACGTGGTGTGACGGTGTCCCGGCTGGCATGCGGCTGTTTCATTTGTTCTTTATGATTTCTGAGGTTTGGTTTGAGATTTTTCGAACCCCTGGTTGAGTTTTTCACTGCATGTCCACCGTAGAGGTAGAGCTCACTGTACTCTGCTGGACTTTAATCCACTGTCTGGTGTCTGTCTGCAGAATCCAGACTGGAAGGCTGGCTGTCGATCCCCAACAGAGCCAACATCAAGAGATACGGCTGGAAGAAGCAGGTGAGGACTCAGATCAGTGACTTTGGCCGAGAGCTGAAAGATTAATCGCTTTTGTATCGAAATCGCAGTTTTAAAGAGTGCAGTTTCCAAATGGCAAGAGCTGCAATTTTTATTGTATAATACAAACCCAATTCCAAAAAAAGTTTGGACACTGTAAAATGTAAATAAATGTAAATAAAACCAGAATGCAGTGATTTGTAAATCTCATTTGTTCACAATAGAACTTAGAGCACATATCAGATGTTGACAGTGAGACATTTTACCATTTAATCAAAAACATGAACTCATTTATAACTTGATGGCAGCAACACATCTCAAAAAAGTTGGGACTTTGAACAATGGATTACTTCAGAAAATGATCAACCAGCTTCTAAGACTGATTTTGAGGGTGTTTGGAAGCTGAGTGAAAAAGCTGTAATAAAGGCAAAGTGTGGACAAACTAAATAGTGAAAAAATTGAAATTATATTTAGTTTAAATCTATATTTTCTACTTTTTTGGTTGTTTTGACTGGAAACAAATGAAAGGTGGTCTCTACAGAGTACTGTATGTTGGTTTATTTGCTCTGTGCTAACTCTATTTGTTTCTCTCCCTCAGTACGTTGTGGTCAGCAGTAAGAAGATTCTCTTCTATAATGATGAGCAGGACAAAGAGCAGTCCAATCCCTCCATGGTGCTGGACATTGAGTGAGTTTTCTACTGTACTCCGCCGGACAGTTTTGTATGAGCAGCACTTTTTTTGTGAACAAAAATATAACTGCTGAAGTACACAAGGGACACTGAGATTATATTGGTCACACTTTATTTGGATGGTCCTCTATTGATGCTCTACAGCTACTTAAATCATTGACAAACCTTCTGGTGATCCTCAGTTGATTATCAACAACATTAGGGTTAGGAGTAGATGTAGGTTTTGCCTTGAGGTTAATGTGAGGGTTAGGTTTAGGGTTTAGGGTCAGATTTAATAAACTCTTTCACACTGAACTTCCAGTTGAGTTGAATTTAATGGGTGTTTAGTTGAATGTTATTGAAAGGCAGACTGAGCATTTACAAAGCATCTACAGTGAATCACCTAAGTTACATTCAACTTCAAGTTCAGTGGCATTTAATGACCATTCAGTTGAATGTTACTTAAATATATACTGAACTTTTACACAGAATCTACAGTGGACCATCCAAACAAAGTGTTACCGTTATTTCTGTACTCTGATGATTTTCTAATGTTTTAAAAGTGTTTTCTCTCTATTTCAGCAAACTCTTCCATGTGCGTCCGGTGACACAAGGCGACGTGTACCGCGCTGAGACGGACGAGATCCCCAGAATATTTCAGGTCGGCTGTTTATGAAAACTGCACCCACACAGAATCGGCCCGTTCGGACGCATGTCGTGATAGCTTATGAAGGGATGTGGTTAGGGAGTTAGGGATGTGCTGATGTGGAATTTCTGGGCAATAATTATAACCAGTAATGAGCACTTTATTATAAGTAAAAGTACATAAGTAAACATTATTTACATAGTACTTCTCTAAGCCAAGCCTCCAACCTGCTTCAGAATAAGATATAACAAAATCATCTAAAACAGTAGAAGACAACATAAATAACAAATACTTAAGCAACAGAACACGAGAGGGAGTGTGTTATCGTGAAATAACATCACAGCTGTGATTTGGTCGCCGTAGATCATCACAGCCGTGATGTTATTGGCGATAACACACTCCTCGAGTGTTCTACTGCTTTTATACAACAGTTAAATAAATACAGTAATAAATTAATAAACTGGGCCGTGAACGCGGCGTTTAATAGGTTTTAATGTTCGCAGTTCCTTCACCAAATTATAGTTCCTTAACGAGCAGCTTGTTGCTACGTCAGAGTAACGAGCTCCGCCCACTCGCTGCACAGCCGGCAGTTCGTTCTCCAGCTCCTTACACTAAATTCCCAAACTGTCATCACCACTGAGCAGCTTTTCAGTCGGCAGCTGTGACAGAAGAACAGCTAAACAACCTGGAATCAGCCAGAAATGAACCCAGTACCATTCGCCAAACATGTAGTCTGATCTTCAGAGTCTGACCAAATCAGACTGAGCCATTAAACTATCACAATATCAAGTTCAGCTCAGTTTTGTCAGTTTGTGCCAGATCAGTATTAATGTTGTTTTGTTCCAGCCAGTCTGTAAAGCATCTTACAGCCCATTTAGTTTGGCGAATGGTGTTGGGTTCATTTCTGGCTGATTCCAGGTTGTTCAGCTGTTCTTCTGTCACAGCTGCCGACTGAAAAGCTGCTCAGTGGTGATGACAGTTTGGGAATTTAGTGTCGTCTCATCTTCAGAGTCTGACCAAATCGGCTGTCGGTCAAATGTGACCTTATAAGTGTCCGTTTTCTGTTTGTGGCAAAATAAGAAGTAAAAACATTCAAATGTCTTGAGCGTCTCCCACAGCTGTCAAAGTCGTCGCTTAGCAACGGCGTCTCAGCAGAGTGATGCAGTGTTTGTGAAAAACCCGTGATGTTATGGTGAAATAACAGCACGGATAGAACGCCTCTCGACCAATCAGCTTGCGTGGACAGAACTAACTGTTGTATAAATAATAATAATAATAAATTTATACATAATTATAATTATATATGATTATGTTTAATTATTTGAATCACTTTTATAATATATAATCACTCCGTAACTGGGGAGGACAGGTTTATGTGGGCGCTTTAGTGCTGATTACCAGTAACACGGTAATGTCCAGTGTGCTCCACTCAGGCACTGAGACTGACCCTGCAGACTCGTTCTGAAGATCTGATGCTGCCTGAAGCTGCTGATTTAATTCAGTTAATGATAACACTGCATCAGCTGCCGGTACGTTGTGTAAGACTGTGTTCTCCTCTGCAGATCCTGTACGCCAACGAGGGCGAGTGCCGGAAGGAGGCGGACCTGGAGGCCGTTCCTCAGGGCGATAAGACCAACTGCCTGCCCCATAAGGGTCACGAGTTCATCCCCACCCTCTACCACTTCCCCTCCAACTGCGAGGCCTGTGCCAAACCTCTGTGGCACGTCTTCAAACCCCCACCGGCACTCGAGTGCCGCCGCTGCCACGTCAAGTGCCACAAAGACCACCTGGACAGGAAGGAGGACGTCATCGCACCCTGTAAAGGTCAGACGCCGGAAAACAGCATCGGAAAAAGACATCAGTACTTCTCACTGTTACTTAGGAGTTTATTTATTCATTTATTTTCCCCCATAATTAAACAATCAATTAATATAGATTATTTATTATTATGCTTATAAGATAAAACATATACAATCAAATTGTTGATGTATTCTATTCAAACATTACATGGAAATGAATATATATATAGAAACTAAGTTTCAAAATGTCACAAAAACTCATTTACATGGAGATTTGTGCAAAATTTAGATTCTGTTTGTGCATCGCTAGTTTTCAGACAAAAATATTTTTATAATAATATATATGATCACTGTCGGAACAAATATAAGGAAGAATATTTTTCAGTAATATTTTATTATATTTTATTTAAAGAATATACATACAATTTAAAATGTAATTATACAAATGATTTCAAAATAATGTAATTTTTTAATAATTATATTTTTTTACAATTATTATACTAATATTTGTGTTTGTTTTTCTGTTTCTGTTTTTTGTGGTGATTTTGATTTTATTTAGATGCATTTATTACTTTGTTATTATTACAGAATAGTGATAGTTATTATTATATTAATAATCATTTAATCAGTAATAATAATCATTACATGACTGGGGATGCTGCCTGAAGCTGCCGATCTGATTCAGATCTCAGAATCTGTGCAGATACAGCGTATGAATCTCTCTCTCTCTCCTCACAGTGAACTACGACGTGACGTCGGCGCGGGACATGCTCCTGCTGGCTCTCTCCCAGGAGGAGCAGAAGAAGTGGATCGGCCATTTGGGCAAAAAGATCCCCAAAACCCCGCCCTCCACCTTCTCCCGCGCGTCCCCCCGCAACATTTCCACCCGCTCCGTCGTAGCCAATCAGTCCTTCCGCAAGAACCCCAAAAACATCACCGGGAAGTCCAGGTAAATGAAATAGTGAGACGCTTAAATATCAGAGGTCTGTGATTAACACGGACACAAACAGCAGAGCCGTCATCACCCATCAGCACAGCTGAGGGGCAGAACTGTGCAGAAGTCTTCAACCCCTTTAGAGAACAGAGAGTCTGATCTGAACGGTGGTAAATCCACTCTCTGTCTTTAGAATGAGTACAAATAAACATTAAAACAGCAAAAATCACAAGAGCTATTAAATATTGGTTAGAATTAGGGACGATGTGGGATTTCTGGGCCAACGTCCTGTATTTTCCACATGTTGCTGATGTCGGAACAAAACCTAATTTGAAAGTACCTTTTGTCCTTTACATTGTTTGTAAATTTCATGATGAATGGACCAAAGGAAACGGGCCAAAATGACTTGGAAAAAAGTCTGGTTCCATTGACTTACATTAAAAGTAAAGTATGTTTTTTCCGTTTTGGAGATACGAAGTTTTGTTCCGACAGCAGCGAAACGTATCTGACAATGTTGATGTACATATATTTACAAAATTAGAATTTGGGACAAAGTTACCTTTCACTTTTATGTGTTGTACACATCAGCTCAAAGATATTCACTAAGACAGTAATGGAAGATTAATGCAGCGTAAAAGGCTTATAAATTCTAATAAATCAGAAGTTGCTTTTGGGTCCTAAGTTCACTCGATATGAGCTCATCCCGTCCCAGTAGCACTTAAAGACCTCCTGCGCTTGAAAAATGCTTTTTAAAATGGTTAATTGCTCTGGGGTGGCATATTATGATTAAACAGACTGATTTTTGTATTGAATGTGTTACTATAGCACATTTTTCCATTGAAAACAGGCTTATTCAGTGCAATTCGTGAGGCGCTACCTAACAGCTTAGTTCTGTTAGTTCTGGTTCTAGTGATACCAGAATATGCTAATGAGAAAATTATGATGTGGCGTCGACATGAAACGTACTGCTGCACTGCTAGAAAAACCAGCATGGACCAGCATGGCTGGTCGACAGCAAAACCAGCATATCTGGAAGAACGCATCTCCAAAATAGTCAAAAAAAAAGTTATTAACGTTTGAACGTAAGTTAATGTAAAGATTTTTATTCTGAGCAGTTTTGGAGCTTTTCTCTTGGTCCATTCACATTTTAACACAGTGTTAACCCTCTATTGCACGATGTTGCCTCAGAGCAACAAACTCATTTTCCTTACTTTACAATGACGTTACACATATTTAAAGACACTGAACAATAAATAGAGGAGTTTGAGTAAGTCAATAAAAACCATGTACACGATCTCTTAGTGGGCACAAAAAACTTTTTTAACATTCAGTATAATCTTTTTTTTTTTTTTGTTATGAGAATTTGCAGAAATATGTTTGTTGCCTAGAAGCAACATTGTGTGACAGTGGAATGGATTTAGCCAGTCGCAAGCCAGATCTCACCACTTCAGGGAACACGACTCTATATCAGTTCTTCCCATTGTCGCACAATGTTGCCTCAAGGCAGCATACTCCAAAAGGACCCCTTTTTATGTTTTGAATTTTATAATCAGCTCTGAAAAAATAAATCAAGGACTGTTTTATCCAAGAAAAGTGGATTAAATATATATTTTTAATGCTATAATATAATGTGTGCAGTAGAGAGTTAAGGATAACCGCTGTGCTCAAATGACATACAAAAATAACCATTGGAAAAAACAGAGATACATGTTTTTTATTTTTTTGGACACCGGTGTGTTTTGGATGCTGGTACGCTGGTCAACCAGCGTGACCATTCTGGGTGACCAGCTAGATCGGATAAACCAGCACCGGGCCAGCAGGAAAAGAAGGTTTAAGCACTCCAGTCGTATTGAGTTTATACTGTTAAGTTCTGCAATGACTACAATGACTTTTAAAGCTCTTGATAGCTGAGAATGTTCCTCTGGTTGGGTGAGACTTCTGCACAGCGCTGTTAGTGATGGTGACCTACTAGTTGAACTAGTTGTGTGTTTCGTTCAGACAGAAGCCCAAGAGGCTCAGGATTTGAATGCAAACAGGAGACAGAAAAGGTGGGAATGTGGGGGAAAAAGCTGGTTCACGTTGTTCCCCCACCACTTAGTCCAAATCGGGTCCATCAACCAAGACATGTTTGGTGTTTGAAGTTTGCTTCTTTTAATTTAGCGCTGGAGCTGCCGGGCTAATGTAGCTGATAAGTAATGGACACTTAAACCACATCAGTTAGCATCTTGGAAACGTTCTTAAAAATGAATGCTGTGGATCCCGAGTGGCACATCCGTCTAAGCATTGGCTCTGTCATCAGGAGATCACGGGTTCAGTCCCTGGTGATGCTACAGCCGTCCGTGGCCAGGAGTTCAAGAGAGCATTGTTGTCCTCGCTCTCTGGGTGGGTCGGAAGGCCCCCCGTCTTCTCACTTCACTTAGCATGATGCTAGCTGATGTAGCAGAGCTGGCGGTTAGTGGTCTCTGACGAGTGCGTAGAGCTGTCCAGTGATGAGCTAGCTTTCACCCTTATGTGACTGGGGGAGTCCAAACTAATGGACTAGATGACTAAATTGAGGAGAAAATTAGGGAAAAAAATCAATGGTATACTGTTAAACCGACGCCAAACCTTGGATTTAAACCATTTCAGAACCTCTACCAGAGCCGGTTTATGAGGAGTCTGGCCGCTTCCTATTTCCCCCGTTATATTAAAAAAAGGACCGCAAAACGCCAAATCCTCAATGAATGGGGGTGAATGGAGCTCAACGGCTAAAAACAAAAAGTTAAAATAGTCTCTAATCACTCATCGAGAACTTTTATAGAGTAGAAGGATGGATTTCACAAAAACAGCAAAGGAAACTCACCTGTATGTTTCCTTTTTTCTACAGCAAACGGGTTTTGGGCAGCAGGACGCTAACATTACTGCTACTGAGTGCTGACTGGTTGGCGAGCGGAGCAGCTCATTGGCTGTTCGCGCTCACTGACGTCATGAACGCACATGAGGCGCCGTTTTAAACTCCTATAACTCGAGTTTAAAAGCTCTTAAAATGTAACAGCAGTGTTAAAATGTTTTATGCTGTTCAGGAAATGAATAAATTATTTTATATTAAAAATGTTTAAGCATTCATAAACTATGATTTTACTCAAATGCTCCATCTGAACCCAACCATTTTGGACTTGGGAGCGCCCTCTAGTGTTTGAGAAACCCGGAAAACATTACAGAGTGGAATTCTCCTCTCTACAGGTTCTCTGCCCCTACTGTGTTTAGCTATGCTAACATGCTTTAGTCCATGTTTACAGATAACAGTGTGTCAGAAACCATTTAATCAGCTCTACTGGAGAGAAAGTCTTATTACTGAACAACTCCACAACAAAGTGGGTGAGAAATTAGGCAAGCAGTTAGCTCAGTGCTAAAGTTCCCATTATTTGTCAGCTACATTCGTCTCAAAGCTCCAGTGCAAACTTCCGACACCAGACATGACCTGGTTTATCGACTGCATTTGGTTAAAGCGGGAATTTTTTGCCGGAATGTTCCTGTGCCAGGGTTGGGGTTAGAGAGAGCAGGTCCGTTTATGATGGCCCGTTTGTGTCGTGTTGTGTCGTAGCAGGGCGCAGTCCAACCTCCATGCAGCCGACACTTCGTCCAGCTCCTGCTGACCACAGCACACACGAGCTCCAGGCTTTTACACCCACAGCAGACCTCAGCGCAGTGTCTCCTGCACAGTTACCTTTACATTCACACCCCTTAAACGGCTCCGGCGGCGGCCGAACCGAGCCCAGCCGCGCTGCTCCTCTCAGGGTGTCGGTTGGGTTTACGTGCAGGTTTCCTGTTCAGGTTTAAAGGAGAGCTCCAGTGTTTCTCAGCCTGATCTCCGTCTGCTGCAGCTGTAGCGTACAGTCGACTACCAGACAGTCGTATCCCGGTAACACTTCACTGAAGACCTTCTGCGTGTCATAGCAGATGTCCTGTGCTGTCTTATGTCGACTGTTTATGTTCAGTAATATAACAGCGTCGTGTTGCTACCAGTAACTATAATGACAGATGCTATAGTGTCTAACGCCATTACAGCTTATGTCACATGCTAGTTTTTGCTGAGTTTCTCTTCTTCGTAACAGTCGACGCTACAGATGCAGCAGATGGAGTGAAAGTTGAAAAGTACTGGTGTACTCCTTCGATGGAAGGGGGCTGATTAACCAGCTGGGGGGGAACTTGAGGCTCGATCCCAACAGAAGCTTTTTAAGCTGGCTGAGAAAAGAAAAGCTTTTTCTGCTTCGCCAACCACAGAGAAAATAACTCTGTGGCACCACCTACTGGTGGGAAGGCAAACATCAACTCAAACTGAACTGTTTCAGGACTCTTCCACATGTATACACACTGATCAGGCATAACATTATGTCCTTGTTTCTACGCTCATTGTCCATTTTATCAGCTCCACTTACTATATAGGTGCACTTTGTAGTTCTACACTTGCCATTGCTGAACTCCAGCAGCACTGCTGTGTCTGATCCACTCAGACCAGCACAACACGCACTAACACACCACCACCACGTCAGTGTTACTGCAGTGCTGAGAATGACCCACCACCCAAATAGTACCTGCTCTGAGGGTCCATGGGGGTCCTGACCACTGAAGAACAGGGTAAAAGGGGGCTAACAAAGTATCAGAGAAACAGATGGACTACAGTCTGTAACTGTAGAACTACAAAGTGCACCTATATAGTAAGTGGAGCTGATAAAATGGACAATGAGCGTAGAAACAACGAGGTGGTCAGAATGTTTATTTATATATATATATATATATATATATATATATATATATATATATACATATATATTTGTTGGAACAAAACCTCGTATCTCCAAAATGGTAACTTTACAGGAGAAGGAAAAAACCTACTTTACTTTTAATGTAAGTCAATGGAACCAGAGTTTTTTACAAGTTCTTTTGGGTCGTTTCTTGGCAACAGGTATTTTCAAAATATGTGAAAAACGTCAAAAATGGAGATACAAGGTTTTCTTCAGACAGCAGCGACATATATATATATATATATATATATATATATATATATACATACACACACATATATATCACTGCTGTCAGAACAAAACCTTGTATCTCCAAAATGGTAACTTTACAGGAAAAGCCAAAAACATACTTTACTTTTAATGTTTTTTTTACAAGTCATTTTGGGCGATTTCTGTTGGTTCATTCATCATTAAATTTACACACAATATAAAGGACAACAGACATTTTCAAATTATGTCAAAAACTAAAAAACAATGGAAATAATGGAGATATGAGGTTTTTTCTGACAGCGTATATATGAAATTACATTTTTTAACAGTATATAACTTACACTACTGACTTAGAGTAGCATGGCTGATACTTTAACACTGTTAAATTGCTATTAGATGTTAAAGTTCGGATTTTAAATCAGCCGTGTCAACTTTTTTTTACAGTGTTTAAAAGTAGTTCAAATAACACTATGTTCATAATTACACATTTAGCACAGTATTGAGCCGCTCCAGTGGTTATGGTCCTTAACGAGGGGCTCGTCAGACTTAATGAAACTCGAATGCCACCTTAAGAAGCTTTTGTGAAATGGTTTAGTGTAATCGTTGGTGTTTCGTTGGGACGTTTGTTGTGGTAAAACAGGAGCATCTCTAACAGTGTCACGTTGTTGACGTCTCATTTGTTCACTTGAGAACAAAAACGGGTAAACTGCAGCACAAAGCTGATCATGTTTGATTGTTTTACTCATTAATATATGTATATGTTTATTGTGATCACTAACAAGAAGGCATATTCTGACCTCAGATGCGTGTTTCTCTATTTATTATCATATAATGAACATTTGCATAGCTCCAAAGTTTTGCTGTGTCGTGCTTTATTTCAGATTACATAATCTGTAGTATAAAAAAAACACTTTCAGTTCCATAAATATTCCAAAAATGATCATTTTCACTTCATTTAAAGAAGTAAAAAACAGCTGAATATGGAAAAGCCGGTCTGTTTGGACTATAAAGTGGTTCATGATTTCATAAATATAGAACGCGCATCCTTTTCAGTGAGGATATGGTTTTATATTTCTTCATCCACCCTTTTTTTTACTGGGCTTTTCTTCTCTGCTCTTTTCTTCCAGCTAACCGCCTGAACCTTCTCTCTGAAACGTGGGACTCGGGGGGGAAAATATATATACAACAAAACTAAACCTTAAAAAATACATTAAAAAAAAAAAGAATTAAAAATGGAATTAACCCTAAAGCTACATTTCACACCGGGACGGAGGACCTGGCTATGGTGGGTAAAGGGATCGGCCCCCCTCCAGGCCTGTAGGGGGCGCTCAGACCATCCTCCACGGCTCGAGATGGCAACTTTGGGACCAACATCTCGGTCTGTCCTCTTTCTGAAGCCGAGATTCTGAAGGGAGTTTTTTTTTGGGAGGGCGGGGTTAATGTAGTAGACGGGGGGTCTTCCCTCTCGGGGACAATCGCTCTAGCTTCGCGACTCCTTCCGCCTCCACTGACGCGCGTCTGATGCCTTTATTCTGATGGATCTGTTCTGTTGGCCTTACTGTAGAAGCAGACTCTGGGCAATAATGGGGTTGGGACGGAGTTCTGGGTACTGAGTATTAGATTTTCTCTTTTGTTTTGGTTTTTTTGAGGAGCATGCAAGATCATTACAATCTATGCATATTGTTGTTGTTGTTGTTATTATTATAGTAATTATTATTATTGTTATCCTCCAGGCCATAGGAATACCATCGCAATGGCTCGAGGAGTGCTCAAATTTCATAGAAATCTTTTTTTTGTTCGTTGGGTACATTATTTCTGTAATATTTTCTGTTTTATTTTGCTTTTTTTTAACTTTTTGTAATGTATTGCCTTACCTTTTTGATTCCTAGATGAATGAAAAAAAGAAAACAACAACAAAAAAAAACATTAAGTTAACAAATGTAAAACTGCACTGTTTGAATTGTAAGTTATTTGTAGAAGACTAAACTGGTGTAGCGTTCAGCCCCACCTAGTGCCTTACCGTTCGGATAACGATTTTACTGCCATATCTGCTCGAGATCCTCTTCCGAAAGAGAAGCGAGGGCTAAAAAAAGGTTAATAGTTGGAAACTTGTCATCACTTTTTATGGGACAACAAAAGACATTATCATCCACGTTGTGGTTTTATCGGAACCAGTCAGTCGGACGTGTCGGACGTGACCGAAACGCCTGGATTTGTGGGTTCAGTGTCTTGCATGGTGCATTCAAATGAAGGCGAGGCGCGACTCGTTTGTACGCTGAAAGCGTGAGGAAGCTGACCGGCATCAGTTTGTTTCTTTCTAGTGGGATTTATTAGGATCCCAGATAAGCAATAAGCAGTTCCTGAGCACACTTTAGCTCATTACTCAGAGGCTAACTCCACCAAATTTCAAAAATTCCCCCATAATTCAGTGTGTGAGATGTAAACAGAGTGACTCAGAGTGGTTTGGTGTGAAATGGTTCAGATGTCTTTACAGTGGTGGTGATAGGAACCAGGGGTCGCCATGACTACAACACAGATATAGACATTTTATTTACTATCCAGAACCACCAGTGAACTTACACGAGTCTTCTGAGTTTATATGGAATGTTAATGATGGAAAATAGTGGAAAATATGAACTAACATGTTTTCTTTGGGGATTATTTTGCCTCATAACACCCTGAATATTATGTATCCCTCCACCATGAACACATTTTAAAGGGCTCATATACTGGAAAACAAGGATGTTTGAAGTATTAAACATTCCTAATATAAACATTAAGTTCCAAAAAAGGGCCATTTCCAATTTGCTCTTTCTGTGATGTCATGGAAAGCAGCTCATTTACATATCAGCCTGTGGCTGTTTAGCCCCGCCCACTCATGTTGAAGTTATAAAGAGTGTTTCAGCCCAGACTGCCATTTGCATGAGGCACAGCCAATTAGGACAGAGCTCATTTACAAATATTAGTCTTAAAGACACAGTAACCTGTTTCAGTAGCAGAAACTTAAGGCTGCTTAAGGGACAGCAAGAAAACGGTCATGTAGAAATGAATTACGGCTGTTTTTCATTGCGTTAAAATCACAAATGTTAGAAGTGGAGCTCAAAGAAAAAAAGTTAATGTTAAAAAAATATGTTGTAGGCCGAAAAAACTATCATAAAATAATGTCTCAGACTTCAGGCAGTGTATTTGTAACCATTTAATTAATAACTTTCTGTGAGGGAGCTTTTAGAGGTGGACGTCTGGTTCCTATCACCACCACTGTGAACAGTTCTGATGCTCTAGAACGGAGAGTTTCACACCAAACCACTCTAAATGACTCTGTTTGCATCTTAACCAGTTAATTATGCAGGAAATTAAGAACAGACCCCTCTAATAGAGTTCAGGGGCTGTTTTAATGCAGGTTTTCTGGCCTGGCTTTCATATCGTGACATACACATCATCATAATACCCCTAAAAAGCGAATTCTCGGTCTGTGTACATAAAGAAGATGCCACAAAGATCATGAATACCTCCTCAGCTATTGAAAATGGTTTTTACATTTTACGTGTTCAGTTAAATGAAGCACTGGAACTATGATCGCTATCTTATTTGTCTTGGTTGAACTGCATGTTTAATTGCATCGGAGGCCGCACTGATGGATGTGTGTCAATAAACCTTATCTTTATCACCTACCAAGCCTGAAGCCTCTCTGTACGTCTCCTGCTCTTCAGCTCCTCCTCACGTCACTGTGCTGCTCGGTGGTAAGCTGGAGGTAGTTGGGAGGTTCATCTCTGTTCTGCTTTCGAACAGTTTACTTTTATTTGTACAGCACTTTCTCCAGCACTCACTCACCAGGTTCCCATCCAGTTGAATTGAAGGGGAATTCCACCAGTATTTCAAAATTCCACCATAACTCAGTGTGTGAGGTGTAAACAGAGTGATTCAGAGTGGTTTGGTGTGAAATGGTTCAGATGTCTTTACAGTGGTGGTGATAGGAACCAGGGGTCGCCATGACTACAACACAAATATAGACATTTTATTTACTATCAGAACCACCAGTGAACCTACACGAGTCTTCTGAGCTTATATGGAATGTTGATGATGGGAAATAGTGGAACATCTGGAATAATCAGTTTTCTTTGGGGACTATTTTGCCTCATAACACCCTGCATGTATCCCTCCACCATGAATACATTCTAAATATTGGAAACAGACTTTTTAATGTTTGATTCAAACACAAAAACAGCTTGTTTTGGATTTACTGCTTCTGTGATGTCATGGAAACATCAGCCTACAGTTGTTTAGCGCCGCCCACTCACGCAGAAGTTATAAGGAGTGTTTCAGCCCGGACTGCTGTTTGAATGGGACATAGCCAATCAGAACAGAGCTCATTTGAATATGTCAGTATTAAAGGCACTAACAATAAACGTCTGTTTAGTTG